TGGAGAAATGTGGGATTCACATATAAATCAAGTATAAAAATCAAACAAATATTCATATTTGACCTGATAGTTTATAGTTCATAATGTGTGATCAAAACTGAAAGTTTCTGTGATGACTGCCCTTGTACTGTTTACCATGTAAGAACTTATTCACTATGTAAGAACTTGTTCACCATCTAAGAACTTGTTCGTTATGCTTCAGAAGATTGGAGACTGATGAGAATTAGGCTTGGGGTGGATTAAGGATTGTGCATTGAGCATTGACTCCCCTATACAGAATTTTATTGTTGTTAACAACCATTTGATCAATAAATATGAGAGATGCCCTCTCAAAAAAAAAATGGGTTCATTCATATGGCTAAATTTTGAAGTGAAAACATTATTTTAGTCCTACATAACATTTTTCTATTTGCTATGAGCTTTGTCAGGTCACTTTTGTCCAAATAAACCAGATTTCAAGCATAACCCATGACATACATTTTGCAATAGAAAAATAATAGATTTTAATTGAATTAACTGTTCTTTTGCAGTGTTTAAATAATGATAACAGAAGGTCTGTGAAGATCTGTATTCTGGCCAGTTGTGCACTAAGAGCCAAATTAAATGAGAGTATTAAGTTTCTGGGAAGACAGTAATTGATAAGAGCTTTTGGGTCAAACAGACTTGCATTAAATCATGCCTTGGGTATTTATTAGTTGTGTGATCTTAGGTGAGTAACTTAACCTCAAAAACAAACTGGGAATAAAATAGTTCCCTGTTTTAGGGGGTCTTTAAACTGAAACTCATATAAGACTCCCTTTTAATCATTAGACCCCTAGTTAATTCACTTTTTTTAAGAATCAGGCAGTGAGTGAAAGATTTAGATCTTGAAGCTACAGGTATCAGTGCAAAGGGGTTTTCAGCAAAGGCCCTTTATTCTCTGTTAAAAACACCATTCATTTTCAGGTACTACCCAAGCTGATTCCACATCCTCACTAGATTGTCTCTCTTCTTTCAAAAGTCCAAGGAGAAATTTAAAGCTTACCATCGCACTCTTCCCCCAACCCAGTTCTTAGAATGGGTGGAACCAAAGAAAAATTCTAGCCACATTAATTCTCAACTTCTTTCCCTTGGGGACCTACTGTCTTCTTACATGCCCAAAGTAAATGACAGTGATAATTAATTTTCCTTTCTCATTTGGGGCTAAGAAGCAAGTTTGCAAAATTTCCATGATGTGGTAAAATATGGAAAGAAAATAAGGAAAGCAATTTGTATTTTTACCATCTTCCTTTTTCATGAATTCTCTTGCAATTCATATCCAAAGCCTTGCCTACCTACCTCATTCTCCCAGGGACAAATATGCCACATTTGAGTGCTCACAGAAGAAGGAAACATCATTGCATGTCAAGTAGATAAAACCCCCACCCCCAGCCTACTGAACTTGGATTGTCTAGGGATCACAGCGTATGGCTGTTAAGGATAATATGATGGTTAAATGAGGAAAAACTATATACAAAGTACATACCATGGAGACAAACACAGAAAATAGTCGATGTTAGCATCATGAATGCTAATATTAATATTGAAAAAGAATTTCTTATGAGCAGCCTCTAGAAAGTAAAAACTATGAAAGTGAGAAGATACAGCTGCCCAGTTGTCATCTTATTCTGATGATTTCAGAATGTGACCCTCATCCCAAGCTGTCATGGGCTGCCAGGGCGTGACAGCTCTCATCTGCCGGAGGCCAATAAATGTTTAATCTCTCAGCCGGCCTCTTGCTGCCACTATTATACCTTTGGGCAGAACTTCAGGGAAAATAAAGCCAATATTAATATTAAGCCAGAATTTTTAAACAAGGTGAATAGTACAGTTTAGCATCCAAAATAACTTACTAATGAATTCAGCCTGTTTTGTATTAGCTATGACTGTGCTCTTTTTGCAGTATAGATAATGGACAAATGTCTGCCCACAAGTTATGGGTTCAAAATCATAATAACACAATCTCTTTCTTTCTTGAAGAAAGAAAATGGATGAAGTCTTTTCTCCCTAAACTCTCCTGTGGAGTTAAAAACAGCACGCACATTCGAAGGAAACGAGTCGTAGGCGGAAAGCCAGCACAAGTGGTAAACCTGTTACTTTCCAAAAACAGCCCAAGTTTGAAAAGAAAGATGGGAGAAGAGGGGATATGTAATGATAAGAGGCCAGGAGTCTTGTCATGGAAATACCTTAGAGCCACCTGTTTGTATTGCTTTCTGGTAGAATGGAAGTGACCACAAGGATGTCTTTTACAGGGAGACTTCCCATGGCAGGTGGCAATTAAGGAGGGTGACAAAATCAACTGTGGAGGAATTTATATTGGTGCCTGTTGGGTTCTGACTGCTGCACACTGTGTCAGGTAAAAAAAATGTCTCCAGTAGATTCTGGAATTCCTGAAACAATGAATATGAATAATAGAGATGATAGTAGGTGATAAATAAAAACATGTGACAAGTTCCACTCTATTAATTTTAAAATATCTTCTGATATTCATGATCAGAACCCCAGAGGCCAATCCCCCACACTCTACTGTGTTCCCCTGTCCTGGATCAAATTGTCAGTCCAGCTAACAAGGTCAAATCAAACCTACAGGTAGCAAGTTATTTCACAAGGCTCATCTGCTTGGTGTAAAAGCAAGTAGGTACTACCTACATTAGGTAGTAGTGTTGGGTCCAAACCACTGAGAAGAGTTTATGACAAATGTTTATAGAGAGATAATACTGCATAATTTTCTCTGGTCTCACCTCAGGAAGGATGTCATTTGAAGAGCTACATGTATTCAAAGACTCCAAACACACAAATCATTTTTCCCATCCATGTACCCCTAAATCTATTTGATGTGTTCCAGGCAATGAAGGAAATAACCAAAGCTCTGTGCTAATTACTTTGCATACTGCTTCAGCACTGGCTGGCTCACTTTCTGCACATGGCATCCCTAATGTCTCCGCCTATTCTTTTTTTTTTTTAATTTTTTATTAAGGTATTATTGATATACGCTTTTATGAAGGTTTCACATGAAAAAACAATGTGGTTACTACATTTACCCATGTTATCAAGTCCCCACCCATACCCCAATGTAGTCACTGTCCATCAGTGTAGTAAGATGCCACAACAGATTCACTGTTTGCCTTCTCTCTGCTGCACTGTTTTCCCTGTGACCCCCCACACCACATGTACTAAACATAATACCCATCAATCCCCATCTCCCTCCCGCCTGACCCACCCTCCCACACTCCTCCCCTTTGGTAACCACTAGTTCCTTCTTGGAGTATGAGTCTGCTGCTATTTTGTTCCTTCAGTTTTGCTTCATTGTTATACTCCACAAATGAGAGAAATCATTTGGCACTTGTCTTTCTCTGCCTGGCTTATTTCACTGAGCCTAATGTCTTCCAGCTCCATCTATGTTGTTGCAAATGGTAGGATTTGTTTCTTTCTTATGACTGAATAGTATTCTACTGTGTATATGTACCACTTCTTCTTTACCCATTCATCTACTGATGGACACTTAGGTTTGCTTCCATATCTTTGCTATCGCAAATAGTGCTGCAATAAACAAAGGGGTGCAAATGTCTTTTTGAATCTGAGAAGTTCTATTCTTTGGGTAAATTCCAAGGAGTGGGATTCCTGGGTCAAATGTATTTCTATTTTTAGTCTCTTGAGGAACCTCCATATTTCTTTCCACAATGGTTGAACTAGCTTACATTCCCACCAGCAGTGTCGGAGGGTTCCCCTTTCTCCGCATGCTTGCCAGCATTTGTTGTTCTTGTCTTCTCGATGCTGGCCATCTTTACTGCTGTGAGGTGATATCTCATTGTGGTTTTAATTTGCATTTCCCTTATGATTAGTGATGTGGAGCATCTTTTCATGGGTCTGTTGGCCATCTGAATTTCCTCTTTGGAGAACTGTCTCTTCATGTACTTTGCCCATTTTTTAATCAGGTCATTTGCTTTTTGGGTGTTGAGGCATGTGAGTTCTTTATATATATTGGATGTTAATCCCTTGTCAGATACGTCATTTACAAATATATTCTCCCATACTTTAAGATGCCTTTTTGTTTTGTTGATGGTGTCCTATGCCTTACAGAAACTTTTTAGTTTGATGTAGTCCCATGTGTTCATTTTTGCTTTTGTTTCCCTTGTTCTAGGACATGTGTTCAGGAAGAAGTTGCTCATGCTTATATTCAGGAGATTTTTACCTATGTTGTCTTCTAAGAGTTTTATGGTTTCATGACTTACATTCAGGTGTTTGATCCATTTCGAGTTTACTTTTGTGTATGGGGTTAGACAATAATCCAGTTTCATTCTCTTGCATGTAGTTGTCCAGTTTTGCTAACACCAGTTGTTGAAGAGGCAGGCTGTCATTTCCCCATTGTATGTCCATGGCTACTTTATTCTAAATTAATTGACCACATATGGTTGGGTTTATATTGGGGCTCTTTAGTTTGTTCCATTGGCCTATGGTTCTGTGCTTGTGCCAGTATCAAATTGTCTTGATTACTGTGGCTTTGAAGTAGCACTTGAAGTTGGGGAGCATAATTCCCCCAGCTTTATTCTTCCTTCTCAGGATTGCTTTGGCTATTTGGGGTCTTTTGTGGTTCCATATGAATTTTTTTTTCTCTTTTACTTTTTTTTAAAAATTCATTTTATTATCATTAATCTACAATTACATGAAGAACATTATGGTTACTAGACTCCCCCCTTCACCAAGTCCCCGCCTCCACAAACCCCATTAGAGTCACTGTCCATCAGCGTAGTAAGATGTTGTAGACTCACTACTTGTATTCTCTGTGTTGCACATCCCTCCCTATGCCCCACCCCCCACATTATGCATGCTAATTGTAAGGCCCCCTTTCATTTTCCCTGCTCTTATCCCTCCCTTCCCACCCCTCCTGCCCAGTCCCTTTCCCTTTGGTATTCGTTAGTCTGTTTTTGGGTACTGTGATTCTGCTGTTGTTTTGTTCCTCCAGTTTTTCTTTGTTCTTATACTCCACATATGAGTGAAATCATCTGGTACTTGTCTTTCTCTGCCTGGCTTATTTCACTGAGCATAATACCCTCTAGCTCCATCCATGTTGTTGCAAATGGTAGGATCTGTTCTTTTCTTATGGCTGAGTAATATTCCATTGTGTATATGTGCAAGCTCTTCCCTATCCATTCATCTACTGAGGGCCCCTTAGGATGCTTCCATACCTTGGTAGTTGTAAAGAGGGCTGCAATAAACAGAAAGATGGTATGCTCAAGTGCAGCCGGTGTATTTTAAGTGATTTACAAACTATTCTGCTAATCTCACACTA